TGCAGGGTGAAGGGGATCAATGGAGGAAAAAGAGGGATATCTATAATATTTTCAACAATAAAGATAATTTTTTTAAGTAGCTATCATAACACTCATCAAACATTTTAAAAAACTACTATAATATTGGTAGTAATATTTAAATGTAGATTCTGTCTTCCCCATTATTTAGTAAGTTTCTGGAAGACAGTAGACTTACTCTATGCACTAGTTATTGTCCAAGTTTCTCCAACAGTACCTCCAGTATAACAGATGTTCAATAAAAATTACCACTGATGATAATAAAGAAGCATAAGTAATAACATCGGCACAACTAAACCAAAGGTAACTAGTAGGAATCTCATACATTCTTAAAGATGTTTTATACTAGTAAACACGGAAGTTTGGATCTCATCTGAGTACCTGGGTAGCAGTATTTTCTTCTCTAAGAAGCAGAATTTCAGCTGTCAGAGCATCAATGAGCTCTCGATGATCACCTAATACCTGTTCCAGTTTCTGTCTTGTCTCTACTTCTTTACGCAGTTGGAGTTCACTCTACAACAATAAACAAATAAATAAACCCCATCCATAGCATCACACTTTGAAAACTAAAAGTTTCTGCTCAAAACTGTCAAAGAGAAAAGAATACTTACAAAGTATATATTATGTGACAGTAATGAGAGTTATTTTTATTAAAAGGTTTACATTTCATTAAAATATGCTGCTTTATTCTCTTCCCTTCTTTAACTAGAACACAATAAACAGAATGGTATAAAGAACTAAATAGCTACAGTTCTGTAGAAGAAAGTGGAGGGAAGTACATATACATATTGCTTGACCACCTCTAGGATACACTGGTGTCTGGTAATGAGAGTTGGCTACAAGGAAGCAAACAGGTTAAATGGAAATAAAGGGTGAGAATTAGATTTTTCATCATACACCCTTCTGTGTCTTTGAATTTCATAGCTTGTGAATATATCACGAATTTGAAAATTAAGTCTATTAAAATACAATTTAAAATAAATGACAACAGGTTTCAATAACTGAGCTTTATAAAGCAAGTGATTAGCTAAAAAGTACATGCTTCTAAGCCTATAACACTTTCAGAGCCGAAACTACAGTCCTAGAGATTCCTGACATGAAGGTGAAAGAATGTTAAGACTTTCATAAGTCTGACACTACAATAAATCTTGCACTAAAAAGCAATTTTATGAAGACAGCTCTGGAGAAATTGAAACCTCTGAATTAGAGAGGTGAATCAACTTCTTTAATAATAAAATTTCCTCAAATATTTTATCATAGTTTATGTTCAGCAAATTTAAATACATAAAAATAGTTTAAATAGATTTTTTTAAAAGATGAACTTCATAGCAAACTCTAATTCCTCAGCATTCTGAGGACTGGTTATTATTCACAAATGAACTAAAGAAACAATTCTTGCTTGTGTTATAAATGACTTCACAACAATAAAATATCTGCCACAAAGATGCTGAAGCAAAGCCCAGGTTAACAGTCACGCAGATAAAATGAGGGATTTTATGACTCTCCAAACTGAACTGAAGTGGGACCAGGAAGAGGACGAATGCAGTAGCATGAGGACATATTACTAGTTCTATTTACTCTTTAACTGCCAAACAGTAACATTCAATATTAGCACAAGACACTTTCCTTATAGCAGATTTACTTTCCTAATTATATTTCACTAAGGCTCATATTAAAATCAATACCACTTACTTGAGCATGTATCAACATGCTCGATGATACACGAATCAGCACGTAGAGGGATATTAAGAGGGTAAACCTTCACTGCAGATAATCTAAAACTGAGGTATTTTAAACAAAGCTATTCAAACTTGACTACACTTTATTTGGAAGTTGCAACCAATTAAGTGTAGAGGAAGAAACCCACAACCTTTCCGCCAGCACTCTGAAAAGGAGGCTCTAATAACCCCACACTCTTACCTCTTTAAGGTACCGAACCAGGCGGCAGAGGGAGCTCACCAGCGACAGGGTGAAGCCCGTAAGGCCCTGACTGCTCTGCGGTTCCTTGACCTCGCGTCCTGTCGACCGCTCATACTCTTCCATTTCATGTTCCACCTCATGCATCATGTGTTTGAGGACATCCAGGCTGGGATTGGTGCTACTTGATAAGTCTGTGGAGGCTGTGCTACTTGACAACATGTTTTTCTTCTGCTTGGAAGGAGCACCCAACTCTGGTTTTCTTTTCACTGATGATGACAGAAATCATTCTATTTTAAGATCAGGAAAATAACACTAGAAAATTACTAGAAAAACCTTTGGCTGTTGTTCACAATTTATAAAAGGTTTTTATAGAAGTTATCACCATTTTCTCACAAAAATCTATTCAGTTTAAACCAGGTTTACAATCTATAAGGAATGTACTAGAACCATCTCTCTACAGAGTTACATGGGATAAAAGGAGGCATTTCTTAGCTACCACTCAGTAAATTCTTACTTAGCTAGATCCAACTGAATGAGTTTAAAGGAAAAAACATTTACTAAGACATTAAGATAGCTGTATCAAGTTACACATTTAATAATTCATCTTTGTAAATTAAGGGACTGAACCTTTATTTAGCAGCTGCTTTTGCTTCCTTGAGTTCAGCACTTGTCTCACAACATAGCTCGAGTCTAGAGACTCAGAAGATTCTTCAGGCTGAAGCCTGGTGTGGATTCTCTTGACAGCATTGGTAGCATTCAGAGCAGCTAAAACAAAGAATATTTCCAAAAGTATCTCAGGTGGGGGGAAAAACTGTTTAAAGCATTTCAACTGACAGATCAATCAGTATTCTATTCAATTAGGCTAAGATAGTCAAAACTCAAGTAACTCCTTTAAAAATCACTGCATTCAAGAAAGAACATAATAAAACAAAGATTACTCTGTGAGAAATAATACAATGAGAAAACAAACCTTTCTTTTCCTCTGATGGAGAGGAAGATGATGGAGTTCCTGAAGGACTTATTTGTGACTGTGTTGCTATTTTTTGCTGAATATCAGTCCACAGTTTATTAATTAACTCAGAATTATCTTCCTTTAGTTGGTGAAGAAACCTATAAATTATGGACAAGTTATATTACAATTAATAAGTGCTATTATTTACACTATTTAACTGTTTACATGTTTGATTTGAAGGAACTTTTCATAAATCATAATCAAAGAAAAAAATATGTTTTGCTTTAACTTATAAGACAGAGAGCTAAAATGCCAGTCTTCTTAGTTTTAGAAGGAATCATTCCATCTCCTTTCCAGTGTCCAGACTATGTTGGCTCCTAAAGCAGGGCCATTTTGCCCTTTCTGAAGTTTTATGGTATGGTTCCATCCTCCTCTCTCTTTCTCTAGAGAAAGTACACAACTTGGTCCCTTTTGATTTCTCTCTCCTAAGAAGCCTGCCCTCTGCTCATCTCAGAAGTCAAGTGACTATTGACTGGGCAGTCTCTGCCCTGTGTGGTGAGGAGCTGGGAAGAAGAGATGTAGTGTAAAAAATTAGAGAGCTAAGTGTTTTACTGTAATCATCTTCATCATTGATAAAGCTGATATTTTAATCTCCAGTTGTCTATTTCTGAATTGGACTGAGACTTAAAAGAGCTAGGGGGCCAAAAGCAGAAACAACCCAAACATCCACTAGCTGATGGATGTGATATATCCACACAATGGAACATTATGAAGCCATAAAAATGAACAAAGAACTGATATATCTACAACATGGATGAATCTTGAAAACATACTAAGTAAAAGACACCAGACACAAAAGACCACATATTGATTGCATGATTCTATATATACAAAATGTACCAAAATGGCAAATCTACAGGGATAGAAAATAGGCTAAACTAATAGATTAGATAAGGCTCAAGAGTTTGGGGTTAAAGAGTATGGGGTTTCTTTCAGGGGTAATGCAAATGTTTTAAAATTGATTGTAAATTGTACACATCTGTGAATATACTAAAAATCATCAAATATTACACTTTAAATGGGTGGACTGTATGGTGTGTGAACTATAAATAAATAAAGGCTTTACCAAAAAACAAACAAACCAGGAAAAGTAAAATCTTCTTTAGTGGCTCCACAAACCTCAACCTAATGGAGTCGCTTTCAAGAAAACTATGGGCAGTACACTGAACATTAGTTGCTATAAAGTATACTAAGTAAAAGGTCTGTAATATAGTCTATTCACAGGGCGTTAGTTATCAAAGCATCAGAAAGACTCCTCTGTAAGACAGTGCTAGCTCTAAGTCTAAATTTAGGACAAATCCTAAGAAAAAGTTGGAATGAGATTTCTGTACAAATTGGGAAAATCCAAACCAGTATGAACTCACATTTCTATCTTTAATGTTTATACTTTTAAGAGTAAGGTTATGTAAAATGATAACAAGAAAAAAAGTATAATACTATCCATAGCAGGCTTAAGAATAATCCCCCAAAGTTACTACAACCTAATCCCTGGAGCCTGTGTTATCCTATCTAAAAAGGGACTGAGCAGTTGTGTACCTCCATACAAAGACAAAACAATGGCAATATGTTGATAAGCCTAAGTTAAATGGGTAAGTTCCTAAGGAAATATAATTTACCAAAATTGACTTGAGTAGAAACAGAAAATTTAAATTGAAAGATTTTAGCTCATGAAAATCCATCCCCACCAAACAAACAAACAAACAAAAAAAACTATAACACAACATTTAAGTGAAATAAAATATATTTAAACAAAATGAAATATGTTTGGAGCTGTCTATATATAAATCTTGAACCAGAAAATCCAAAACTAAGACCTAAAATGGATAAAAACCAGGAAGAAATAAAACAAGAATTGACTGAACTCAGGAAATAAATCCAAGAAAAAGAAAACTACCTCAGAAATAAAGATTAAATTATAATGTGTTCAATGAAGAACTGTTAAATAAACATTTAATAAGGAACATTGAAGAATTACAGGAAAACAACAAAAAGATTAAAAATAAGATTAAGAAAAATGAAAATGGTTAGAGAGAAAGTACTTGAAATGGAAGACATGAAAGACTATATATATGGAGTCTCTGAAGAAGAAAAACCAGTGATATAGAACTAATTTAAAACTATAACCCAAAACTTTAAAAAAAAACTGAATCTATACATGAAAGGGCTAATTGTCCTGAATAAGGAAAAATTGACCTGGAAAGGTAAGCTCCAAGACATAACTTAGCAATATTTAAACTTTAAAGATAAAGGAAATAAAATTTAAATTTAAATATAAAACAATAAAATATAAATGCTAAAAAAATTAAATATAAATATAAATTTAAATGTCAAGTCACTATACAAAAGTGTCAAATTATTTAAAAGGGCAAGAAAATTATCCTAGCATCAGACTTCTCAAAGGGAACACTCAAAGCAAACCAAGAGTAGAGTAGCATTTTCAAGAAAGTTAAGGGGGGAAAAAACATATGAACCAAAGATTTTATATCCAGCTAAATTGCCTATCAAATATCAGCGCTATGGAAAAATGTTTAAGCTTTCAAGAACTCAGGGAATACTATATTCAACAACTCTATAATAGCCCAGCCTGGCGTGGCTCAGCAGTTGAGCGTCGACCCAGGATCCAGGCGATCAGGGTTCGATTCCTGGTCAGGGCACATGCCCGGGCTACAGGCTCCATCCCTAGTCGGTCCCCAGTCGGGGGCGGGCAGGAGGTAGCTGATCAATGACTCTCATCATTGATGTTTCTATCTCTCTATCCCTTTCCTTTCCTCTCTCTGAAATCAATAAAGGTATATTTAAAAATAAATAAATAATAAATAAATAAAATAAAAAAAAAAACAAAAAAACTCTATAATAAACTTTATCCAAGAGATCCAACCAAGAGTTAACTAGAGAAATATAAAAAGACTAAGATGGGCATTTAACATATTTTATTGTAGCTCTCAGATTAAAACCAAAATGGAAATATACTAGGAAGAATAATATGTAAGTGCTCTATGTTTGTGAAAGCAAAAAAAGCATCTACAAATGGAGAGACAGATGAAGAGAAAAGAAGGAGAATAACAGGAATCAGAATAACCCATTTGTCAAATAGGCAATGGCTGACGCAAAAAACACCACTTAAAGCCAACACACCTGACAGCGAAATGTTAAATAAGAAAACAGGGGACTAAAGGCTATATAAAAGGTGCATACGCAAAGACAACCAACTAGAACAAAATTACAAACTTTCTAAATACCAACAGAAATTTTTAAAAAAACATAGAGAAGGAAAACTATAATTACAGTATAACACATAGTACTCTAAAATAGTATGACAAAGTTGACATCAAACATAACTGTATCAATAAATGTTACAGGTCACTTCACCAATTTAAAAAAAATAAAGATTGTCATACTGGCTAACAAGACAAGGCCCAATTCTATGTTGAATACAAGAGACACACCTAGTGCACAATAATTCATAAAGGCTAAAATAAGAGGATGAGCAAAGATGAACCAGGCAATTTAGAAATAAGAAGGCAGAGGTTTAATTCCTGATATCAAACAAAGTAGAATTGAAGCCCAAAAGCATTCAGTGTGACAAAGGACACTTTTTAATGCTAAAACCCATAATTCACAAAGAAGATACAATATTTATGGATATCCATGTACCAAAACACACAACAAGCACCTTTATAAGGATGGAGGTATTTGACTCAAAAAAGAAATATAAACATCAACTACAAAGAAAAATAGAAACACAATAATAAACAGCANTAAATAAATAAAATTTAAAAAAAAACAAAAAAACTCTATAATAAACTTTATCCAAGAGATCCAACCAAGAGTTAACTAGAGAAATATAAAAAGACTAAGATGGGCATTTAACATATTTTATTGTAGCTCTCAGATTAAAACCAAAATGGAAATATACTAGGAAGAATAATATGTAAGTGCTCTATGTTTGTGAAAGCAAAAAAAGCATCTACAAATGGAGAGACAGATGAAGAGAAAAGAAGGAGAATAACAGGAATCAGAATAACCCATTTGTCAAATAGGCAATGGCTGACGCAAAAAACACCACTTAAAGCCAACACACCTGACAGCGAAATGTTAAATAAGAAAACAGGGGACTAAAGGCTATATAAAAGGTGCATACGCAAAGACAACCAACTAGAACAAAATTACAAACTTTCTAAATACCAACAGAAATTTTTAAAAAAACATAGAGAAGGAAAACTATAATTACAGTATAACACATAGTACTCTAAAATAGTATGACAAAGTTGACATCAAACATAACTGTATCAATAAATGTTACAGGTCACTTCACCAATTTAAAAAAAATAAAGATTGTCATACTGGCTAACAAGACAAGGCCCAATTCTATGTTGAATACAAGAGACACACCTAGTGCACAATAATTCATAAAGGCTAAAATAAGAGGATGAGCAAAGATGAACCAGGCAATTTAGAAATAAGAAGGCAGAGGTTTAATTCCTGATATCAAACAAAGTAGAATTGAAGCCCAAAAGCATTCAGTGTGACAAAGGACACTTTTTAATGCTAAAACCCATAATTCACAAAGAAGATACAATATTTATGGATATCCATGTACCAAAACACACAACAAGCACCTTTATAAGGATGGAGGTATTTGACTCAAAAAAGAAATATAAACATCAACTACAAAGAAAAATAGAAACACAATAATAAACAGCAAGGGACTTTAATCCATTACTCTCAATATAAGATACAGTAAAAATAAATAGGGATACAGAAGAAGTTAACGACATAATAAATGAGGCAGATCTTGTGGATGTACATTTAGAACTTTATACCTTGTAAATAGAGAATATACCTTCTTCTCAAGAACACACATGGAACATTCATAAAAATTTGATCTATATTAGGTCACAAAGAAAACATCATTAAGTTCCACACGTAAAAATATTACAAACCACACTCTGAATGTAATCAAATAAAACTAGAACTAATAAAACAAAAAACAAAGAGCCTCTTCTATCTGGAAACATTTTTTAAAACCTATTAAACAACCCTTAGGTAAAGGGGGAAAATATAAACTTAAATTACCAAATTTCTAAAATAACAAAAC